AGAAGAGTGAGGAGAGTTCGGGTGGTCTCTTGGACAAATCACCCATTCGGTTTTCCACAATAGGGTCTGCACGCAAGGGAAGGCGCAAGGGGAAGCAAGAGGTTCTCCCCGTGGACCGACCCGTGACGAGATCCTATGCCCGGGCCCATAACATTCTGGTATTAGAGCCTACCGTCATGGGGGAATAGGAGCCGCGGTCTTCCAGGGTCCACGAACTGGAACATAGGCTCGCAGAAACCAACATGGAGGTTCGTGAAGTCAAGGATGATGTCCGGGAGCTGCGACGCCTGCTGGAAGCATTCCTCTCCAACAAGGACAGAAGTTCTGAGGGAACCGCCACCACAAACAGTCGCCGTCCGGACTGGGCAGAGACGTCCAGCGAACAGCAGATCGCTGCCCTGACAGCCGCAGTTATTCCCAAGTATAGCCGGCTGGAATGCATGTTACAAAACCATCTTAGTCTACTTTCTCTTGTTTTATCACCTATTGGAGCTACTCCTAGGTTTGTTCTTGTGGCATCATTTTTTATCATATCCTTTTTAATTTTTCTACTCGTCTCCATCTCAACACTCACATTTCCACCACATTCATTTTTTGGACATATTGTTTCTTGACTACTCAACACTCTGCTCTATACAATATTGTTGGCCTTATAATTGTTTTGTAGAATTTTCCTTTTAGCCTGAGTGGTATACTGGTATTTGCCTATCTCATAAGACTCTGGATACACCCCTCCATTTTGAAGTTAGAAAAAAATTTTCCAATTTTGAATATTGCAACAAAATATAAAATCTTGGTACTAGTCAAAATAATCCTTGTTTACCCATCAGAACAAAATAAAAAAATGGAAAGGATGCCTCTTACTTGGTTTTTGTACACTCTAGGACAATGTCTAATGGTTAACATTGTTACTCCTATGATCACAACCTAAGTGGGAACCTTTTACACTTTTCCTTGACTCTTGAGTGTCTCACTAATTTCTAAAAGAAGAGTAAATATTGTATGTTAACAAACTCAATTACCCATTTACAATATGTATTTATTCATTACTTTGAGTGTGTCTGGACCACTAACAACAAGTACACCACAATTTATCTTTGTCATCCACCCTTGAGAATCACCCTTCTTAAAGAAACTCCCATCACTTGTGTTTGCACCTCCCCTGACTAGTAGAGCAACTAGCTTCCCCTCTGAACAATTAATCAAATTCTTCCTGCTCTCTTTTGGTTGTACTAGAGCATACACTTCCTGCACTGATGGGAGATCTTTACTTCCCAATATCTTAACCCTAATAGTTCATAGATAGGGAGGGTTCAACCCCAAAAGAAAGGCAAAAACCCGCTGCTGAGAAACCAGACTTGTAGGCATTAGCATCCACATCACATTTCCAATCCAGATTCTGATAGTGACCCAGTTCTTTCTAGATGGAGGTCAAATCCAAGTAGTATGCGGAGATACTCCTCTCCCCCTGGTTGCACAGGTTGAAGAAGCAGCTTGCAAGTGATAAATCTTTGCATAATGTCATTGCTCTAAATAGGTAGATTTGGCTTGCTCCCAAATCTCATAAGCAGTTTCTACCTACATGAAGGTCTTCCTCACCTCTGGCATCATGGATAGTAACAGCCACGATATCACCATACTGTTTTCTTGATCCCACCTATCATAGTCTGCACTCCTTGACTTTGGTTCTTTATTCTTAACATTAGTATAACCTATCTTCCCCCTTGCAGTTATGTAGAGTTTAATCCTCTTAAACCATTTAGGTAATTGAGTCCACCAAAGGGAATTACAGCCATGGGCAAGTTTATATCAAATCCCCCACTCACTCCACTGTGGCTAGAGGACACACCAGAGACAACTGAATCCTTGGAAGACATGCTAGGAAAGAGCTGATTGCACTATTCAGTCACAATGATCAGCAGGAAGAGAGAAGCTGTCACCACTGTCACACTACCACAATGCTGAAAAAAATTCCAGAAGTAAAAACAAATATATTTCTGGTCTGCACAGCCCCTACGAGGATCACTTCACGTCTTCACCCTATTTCAGGTCACATGAGTACTACAATCACCAAAGACAATAGGTAGAACTGCTGTCACAGCAGGTACAGGGCATCCAGACCAACACAACCCACCCACCTGGGTACAAAAAAGGATCACATGATCCACATGAGACTGAAGACACTTTCACAGCATCTGTTCACCCTTCTTACAGGGGATTTCTTGGCACACGAACAAGAGAAAAAGGACAATAAAAATAGCACAGGGACCACTTACAGATCAGCTGATGTACTTTCCCCCTAGGTTCTATCAAAAAGAAAAAAAAAAAACTCTGATACCATGTTTTCTTAGTAGAAAGTATTAGAGAGTCGGAGAGAAGAGAGAAAGAAAGATTCGGAGTCAAAAGATTAGTCAGGAGGTGGCAGCACTTCTATTTATATCAGGGCGGGCGACCAAACTAATAAGATAAATAAAAATACAAAGACAAAAATGCCCCTGCGGCCTTAGTACATGTACTTACTGTTAAGAAAATTCTTTTTATGGAAAAGGTTACTTTCATTGCTTCAAAAAAGGAAAGAATATATATAGAGAAGATGCATGAGCATTACATCCAATAGAAGCAGCCATAAAAACACAAAAGACCCTCCCAACCATTATAATGGTAAACTTGAATCACTGTACAAGGAATCCCTACCCACCCTTGATTTTTCTAGAGCATCTGCCACTATTCAGCTCTCTAGGGATCCATCTGAAAAGGCAGTGCACCTATGACAAGATTTATTTAATCTCATTAAATTGACATGTGAATCTCCGAGGTCCATCCCACAAATTTTTGGTCCAATTGATAATAATTCTAGAGTCTCCTTCCACCACCACTTAAGAAAGAGTCATATTTACCAACATCCTTAATCCCACCAGCAAGGCCTGAACCTCTGCTTCCACATCTTCTTCCTCTCCTATGAGCCCACTGAATCCCAAACCAGATCACCGTTCGATTTTACAATTCTGCCCCCAATGGTTGCCTGACCTCTATGATTTGACAAGCTAAAGCAACTGCCATCGAACTGGAGAATGTACGTCGGGAATCTTGGGGCAAGACTAGTTCTGTATGATAAAATCGAGCAAGAAGCTATATGAGAGCCAAGTTAAAAAGAAGCTATATAAGAGCTAGTTTTGTTGTCTGTTGTTTGACCTTACTTGCTCATCTATATCATGTAGATTTCTTGTTGGTATTGTGGTCTTTGTAGTCCATTTGTATTTATGCATGTTAAAGATATATGGGGAAAATAAATATATAAAATTTCTCATACAGGTTCGTGATTATCGGAAATGTATCCCGAGGCAAAGAGATTCTGCTAGAGAAAAGCATCCAGTCATTCATAAGGTGCGACTACAGATGTGTATGGAAAATGTTGTCCAAGACATCTTGTCTATCTCCAATGATACTTGGACCTACAAAGATTTATTGGTTAGTATGCTATTTGTAACGATTTATTTCTGATGATGCTTGATTCTTAGCTCTAGGCTCTAGCATGGTGCCCTATCTAATGATTGATCATTCATCTTCTAGGAAGTTGAGTCCCACATTCTCAAGGCCTTGCAACCACAACTTTGTTTGGAGCCAACACCATCTCTGGACAGACTTTATGAAACACAAGCGCCTAAAAGGGTATGGGTTCACATACATAATTTTCAATGCGAAGTTTCATGGGCAGCACAGTGAATTCGATGCTAGAATGTTGTTGTAATTCTTGGCATCTGTTGCAGCTCAATTTGGGACTTATGGATGGCAGGACAAGGAGAAAGCCAAACTGCTTACAAGCAGCTTATCTTGTGCCTAACAATATTTGTAATGGGAGCAATATCATAAGTACAGAGTTTGAGAATTTGAACTCTAACCCCAATCTAGCAGTGCAAGATTTAAAAGGGTGCTCTCAGCAGATTATCCCATCCGGTTTCCCAAATGAACAGCAGAAGGGCATCTTCAGAGAAACTTTAGAACAAGCCATCCCCATTGCTTCTGGGGGAAACTATCAAGTGGCAGTTAATTTCTCTAGACCATTTTCTAGAGCCATGATGGTCCCCTCAAATTCTGTCTGCATACCAGAACAACATCTAAGTGGCTCCTGTAGCAATCAGAAAGATCCCGGGAGGTTACTTTTGACAAAGAGGGTTAGAGGTGAAGGACAACTGGTTCAACAATCTAATCTTAAGAGATCTAAACAAGAGCACCTGAATTTGGTTCAACAGCAATTCTCAGGAAATCACATGGGAATCATTCTTGGATCTAATAATGAAATTGGAAAAATAGGTCCAACAAGGTTGAGCAGCCAAAAACAATGCCAGCGATCAACTAGTGGCAGTACACAAACAATTCAGGAAGGGATCCCAAAGCTGCAGGCAAAGATGCCCTCTTATATTGACCAAAGAGAAGTACAGTATAGTGTAAATGAAGAGCCAGCTGAAACCAGTAAGTTTTATAAGACAGAGTTGGGGAAAATCATAGATGAACAACATGTAACTGATGGCGGAAAAGATCAGTCTAATCATCAGAAAACACAAATGCACCAGTTGTCAAATTTTATGAGAGCTAATATTCCTACCTCAATGCAACAGAATCATATGGGACAGCATATTGACAAAGATCCAAGTAGGGAGGATGTTACTCAGAAAAAGAGGTCACTGCAGAGTCCTCAAGTTTCTGCCGAGGGAGTGGTCCATTCCCCGGGGCCTTCCAGATCAGGAGAATTTTCTAGCATCTCTATGGGAGTCCCATGCAGTACGTCTGCAACAAATGCCAATGTTGGATTGCACAAGGACAAAGCTACATCCATTTCCAGTACATGTGTTGGACCTGCATCCTTGAACTTTGGTCACAGCGATTTTTTGCTAAGAGATGACCAATCATTGCTACTTACAAAGCGGAAATCCAACTCCCTTCCTAAAACTCAAAATATGGGTGGAATAGGATCTCCTGCAAGTGTCGGTGCTACAAATGCTTTCAATGCTAACAGCCCTTCAGTTGGGACATTCCATGCTGCTTTGCCTTCAGGAACTTTAGGTGATCCTGTCCTTGAGAGGTTTTTAAAAATTGATATGTTGGTCCAGAGGTGTGATCAAGTTTGTTGCTCCTTTGGTAAAATTTCCTTTTCTTGAGTCTTTTAAGGAAACAATTTTCATCTGATTACCATGTTTGAATCTTCTGTATTTCCAGGTATCACCTAAACCATAAGAAGAAAAAATTTGATCAATTTCTTGAAAGGAGACTGCCTTTCCATATTTCTCAGGTGCTTGTAGAGGAGCTCTCCAAGTTTGGGGTTACCACGAATTTGATAGATACAGGTGCAGGAAAGATCTCTATGTCTAATTGCTTCCAAGGCTGTAGTAAGACCAGAATTATGAGATTTGTTCATCCGGGACAAACCTATCAGGGTGAGCCATTTTACCTAAGAGTCTTTTGCTTGCATGTGGCTGAACTTCCTTTACTTATTCTTTTTTCTGCCTTCTGTAGGAAATGGTATTTCTGTGGTTTTGCATGAGTCTTGGAATAAACTGCAGATGTCAGAGAAATCTGAGGATAGAATAGTGGAAGCATGTGTCACTTACGGAGATGAAGAAGATAGCAATTCCATTTCATTTCCTCAATATTATGGATTCACTTTGCCTAATAATGTAAGTTTACTTCCATAAGGATGCTACAAATTCCTATTACATATCTAGTGTTATTGCTGTTTCTAACATGATCATTTATGCATTTGCAGCATTCAGCAGATCTTTTTGCCTTTCAGTTCAGTTCACTGGTAGGGTTTTATGCATTGGATTTTGGTTCTGAAGCATCTATTTAAGGTTTCTTTCTTTGCATTGTGAAATCTTTTCTGTTTTTGTAGATGAGGCGTGAAGGATATCAGCTTATGGATGATAAAATAGAACCAAATTCAATCAACACGTCCAGTAGTCAACAATCAATAGTTGTTACAAGTGCTACTCCAGTAGATGGAACAGATGAAAGACCTTCCCTAGCTCCTATTTCGTGTCAATCTCCTTGTCTAATTATTCCCATGAGCAGCGATATGCCCACTCTAAACACTCTACAGATGACACCTCAGAATATTTTAGCTGGAGGCAGTCTGCTGCCAGCTGGCAACAGCTCTGCAACATTGCAACACTCAGCTGGTTACTTGTCTAAGCTCCAACAACTGGATACCACTGCATATATGACGACAATGAGTCAGCAGCAGCAGCAGCCATGGATTCGGAGGTCCTCCCCACTTATTGGTAGAAATTCAAATCCATCGAGGAATACAAATCTTCCAATGGCTGATCAGATGATAAACAGTCCTGCCAATTTACAGCTTCATTTACGACTACGACAGAGACAGCAATACCAACAACAGTCAATCATGCAGAAGAAGATGATGGGAGGGCTGGGGGCAACCACTGGCATGGTGAATCCGGGTATGATAAGACTAGGCGGTTTTACACCAGGAATTGGGAACCTGGCTGGTCTTGGCTCCATGACCAATGTTATGGGCATGGCTGGGGCCATATCAGCACCATTTGGAGCTAACGTCCCTATGTTAGGCAACAATAGTCGTGGAAACCGTGCCTCAAGTTTCAGCAACAAAAACCAGCAACTTCTTTTCAGTGGGATATCTCATCCTCCGGTTTCAGTTTTGACAAAGCTTGCACAAGGCCAGGAAAGAACAATTCTTAGTGGAATGTCTATCCAAGGAAATTCATTTGATGGTGTTGATGAAATGATAAGGGCAAGCATGATGAATGGTGGATCTATACATGCAACTAGCAAAAGTGCCATGTCTCATTTGCAACATGCTGGGATGGTTCAGATGCACACTCCAAGGTTTATTAGCACAACCTTTAATATGAACAACCAGGAGTCACGACAGCAGATGCAGCAGCAAGTACAACCATTGCTATGGCAACAAGAACAACTGCAAGAAATGGGCTCAGTACCACAACCAAGACAAACGACCATCTTGGTGGCAGAGCAAGTCGGCTCCCCTCTGACTCATGCTAGCCCACAACAGATAAGTCAACAGACACAAATGAGCCCACAGCAACTGAGCTCAGGACCAACTCCGCGGCAGGTCAGAATCGAAAACATTGTGGTGGGCCCTGGAAGTCCTCAGCTGAGTTCACAGACTCATGGATCTGTGGGCAGCATCACAAGCTCACCCATGGAGTTGCAAGGTGCAACTACAATTCACAACGGTGCACCCAACACTGGTGCAATGGGAGGAGAATGAAAGTTCTTTTTCTTTATGTACATAAAGAAGATCATGAAAATGTAAAGTCATATCATTTTCCTTACTCCTGGCTTATCATTTTAAATAGTTTCTATTTGTTTTACCGGTGTGCTTGTGCAGTGGTGTGATGGAAAGACAGGCACCATGACATTACTCCTCTAGTATGGAACTTGTGAGTCATTCTCCAAATTACAATGGCAGCTAGGTGTCAACACATTTGTAATTACAATGGCAGTTAGGTGTCCACCGTACCCATACGTATCCAAAGCTATTATGTTGTCTCTTAAAATTGATTTTCTGATACTATGTGCATCTCTGATACTCAAGTCTAACTTATATTATTCAGTTGAAAGTTCTGACTATTTATAGTTTTCCATTTTTTTATCTTACTTGCATCTAAGCACCTTCTTTTGTAAGGGGATTGAATTCTATATTGATTTGCCCCGTCTGGTGTCACCTCTATAATGCATCAACTGTGATTGTGGCACCATGGGCTTATAAAAATCTCTTAATTTGTCTTCTCATTACAGGGTTACCTCTTCCCGGGTCATGCCCTTTTCTTTAGTTTCAGTTAATTCTGATTTTGGCATTTCCCTTTTTTTTTCTTGTTCTATTTTTCTTATATTCGAACACGGTTAGCCGAATTTAAGTATCTTTATGTTTCTGAATGCCCCCAAAATGATCGTGCAAACAAGTATTTGCTTTTCTTGTTACCATTAATATATAGATTTACATCAATGGAGCCTTGGAGCATGACTGGGCAAATTGGAACTGAGAGCCAAGCCTGGTTCCATGGAGAGCTCCCTCCAGAGTCTAACTCGTAGATTTGACTCACCTCCAACCAGCCCTTTGAGTTGTCTCTTTCAGAGGATTTATACATCTTTCCCAGCTAAGCTTCAAGTTGCTGATGTGAATGGGAAGACCATCAAGAGCCTTATGTTAGCTTTTTGTTGTTAATACACATCTAGCTGTTAATATTGCAAATTCTATTATTCATTAAGAAAACACCATTACTCTGTTATTAGTGTTCTTTTGCATTGTGACAGGTAGGACTAAGGACCCAAAACCCATGGCTGTCTACTGGTGATAGGCGAGTCCGCATTCTGTGCACCCATGGGTGCACTGGATGTGTGAACCCGCCAATAAAAATGCAACACGTTGGGTTCTTGAATCTCTAGTAACATTAACGGGTGTTCAACCGTTAGCTGAAGAAACCCGGTTGAATCACCCACAAAAGGACAAAATAATGTTAAAAGGATTTCTGGGATTTCATTGGAACTGCCTCCCATTTCCTCCTCTCTCCTTCTTCCAAACCTGATTCTCTTCTCAACCTGATGGAAGAACCATTACGCCTCACTGTATAGCAGACTGCTGCCACTCACGAACAGTGATGGCAGCAGGGTTCACTTAAGCATCGGCAGATTTGTTGCACAGTCCATTGGTACATGTATCTCTTCCAATTGCAGCTGACATCTGGTTCCAAAACACGGCAGGACCGCAAAAGCATCAAGCCGTGGCGCTGAGAGTTGGAGCAGATCAGTGTGTCATAAACCGTTGCCGCATCGACACAAACTAGGCCACTCTCTATGCGCATTCCCTCCGCCAATTCTACAGAGACCGTTACATCACCGGTGCTGTTGATTTCGTCTTTGGTAATGCAGCCGTGGTGTTCCCAAACTGCAAAAAACTGCACAGTGATTGCTCGAAAAGCCATGACTGTACAAAAGAACATGGTGACCGCACAAGGCTGGATCGACCCCAATCAAAGTATAGGAACATCTATCATGTGCAGTCTAACATCGGAAATCACATAGATCCGATGACTGGTCGGAATTGAGTGGCGATTTTGCGTTAAAGACGTATTATGGAGAGTTTAATCTATTGCGAGAAATTCCATTCTAACAAAAAACAGGGTTTTTTTTTTATTGTTTTTTGTAACAGGGATTAGGGCTTGGGGGATTAGCTTTGTTCTGATCAAGGTTCAAAAAATCGTTACGTTTGTATCGGGCCCTTCCCAATATGCCCCTACAGGGGTTGTATCGGGTCAGGGCCTGGTTTAGAGGGTAGTCGGGGCTTAAACCGGCCCCTCTGAACCAAAATTGAAAAAAAGTGGAAGTTAAAAAGAAGGGCCGATACGCCTTATGACTGATGACCACCAGTGTGAGGAGTAATGGTTCTCGAAAAAAGAAAATGGGAAGAAGAGGATGAAGAAAGAAGAAGATGAGAAGAAGAGGAAAGAAGAGTCATTGGATAGACTTGAGAGAACTTTTCTATATTTACCATTGAAATTCTTGCTGCCGCTAATGGACCACGTTTATAAACACCGGTGTATGTGAGTGGCCGATGGGATGATTTTCTGGGTTAGGGCTGGGACTGGGACAAGTGAAGGAAATGAGAGGGAGTGAGGGAATTCGAATGAAATCCTTTAAATATTTTTTTGTCCTCTTATGGGTGGTTCAACTGGATTTTTTCAGGTAACAGCTGAACACCCGTTAATGTTTTTAAAAATTTGAAAACCCGACGTATTGCATTTTTATTGGTGGATTCACGCATCTAATGCACAGAACACGGTTTCATATTCATGAAGTTCAACTTGAAACAGTGTGATCAGCGGATACTGTGTGGTACTGTGGTATGAAAGCTACAAACTACTGTTAAGGCTTTTCATATGGCAAAAAAAGATCAGAAAACATCTTCTGTATGATGCCGATTTCCGACAAGTAATATAATAAAATGCGGTAGTACCTCGGCCACGCTCTTTACTTGTCGCACCAAAGTTTGTATCCAGTTGCACCTTATCGATAGTACAACTTTAGACAGCAAGGGTCTATCTACCTAACATCATTGACATGGCCAATCGAAATCCTAGCTGGGTATATAGAGCTGTTAATGGGTTAATGGGTTAATGGGTTGGGTCTTCCCTGTCAGAATCAAACTGATGGAACCGATGATGTTGGTTCCGGTTCTGTGGTTTGATCAAACTGATGGAACCGGTGATGTTGGTTCCGGTTCTGTGGTTTGTGTCTCCATTAATAATTGGGTTGGGTCTGGTTTTATGCAAACAAATTATATGGTTAATACTTAATAGTCCATAGAGGTAAATTTTTGTTATATTTTATACCTAAAAAGATAAATTTTATATACAGTATTTATAAGATAATTTTGAGTGTAAAAGTTTGTTTTATCAACCTATAAAAAGTTTACTATTTTACAGTCATGTGATTATATTATCAAAAGTAAGTTTTAGGGTTGGTTTGGTTGATAGTTGAAATTGGAATTAGAACCCTTAGGAATTGGAATCTGAATGGTCTATTTTCCTCATCTATTTAGTTTATATTAGAATTAGAATTGGCTGAAATAGATTCTCATTTCTAGAAGAGGGGGGATTAAAATCGGTCATTCCGATACGAATTCTAAACCCTTATTCCTATAAACCAAATGGGCCCTTAAATTGATATTATAATAAATAATCATGAAAGTGTATCCGGTTTAATCGGGTCAGATTTGATACTGTCTCCGTCTGATAAAATCGATTAATAATCAGATCGGCACTGGTCCATCCTGTCCGGAACCAGACCCGCCCATCGATAGATTTAGGGTATTATCTTATCGATGAATAGTTCCGTTCCCAAATTCCAACTGGTCCGAAGTTAGTACGTTTATATGGTCCCATCTTCATCTTCAGCATTTTCGGAAAGATCTATCAAAGCTGTGCAAAGGGACCCACCATTTGGCATCGCTTTATGTAATTATGTTTATCTATTTACTATTAGAGGAAGGCCAATTCAGTAAGACAAAAGCACACCAAGGTCATGTATTTGACTGAAGGCTTTTATATCATCTACAAGTACTTAGATGCGTGACAAGGATGATTATGCATATTTTAGGTGAGCACAGACTTAATAATAATTCAATATCAGTGTCTTTTGAATTACCCAGTTGCCTAAACTCTGCTTATTCTATGTTGGTATGTGAATCAGTGGCCTACCAAAAGTAGAGGTGTACATGTATCGAATTGAAATTAAACTAGGTAATATCTGGATTTGAATTCGATTAGAAAATTTGATATTTGGATTTAATTTGATTTAAATTTAATTGATTAATTATTTTAGGTAATTAATAAATATATAAAATATATATTTTATTTATATAAAGTGTATAAATAAATAGATTATTAATATAATTTAAATGTTATATATAAAAATTAAATAACTGGTCGAATTTGGATATTTATCGAATTGACTTAGGTCATATTCGAATTCAATTCGATTACTTAAACAATATGATCAATAAAATGTCCGAATTCAATCGATTATGATATTTGAATAATCCGAATTCAATTTGATTATATTGAATCTTGAATTCAAAATCGGATTTTTGAATACCATTGACACTCCTAGCTAAAAGAATGATTGTGCATATTTTAGATGAGTGGAGTGGTGGAATAGTCCAATTGCTTAAGTCACTTTCTTGAGTTGAAATAGTAAGAAATGATTTAGATTTTGATTAGTACCATTGTTGTTTTTATTTGAAATCATGGTTTTTAAAACTGAACTAGTGACCGAACCGGTCAGGGGTCCAGTTACCGGTTTGAACGGTTGGCCCATTCTGACAAAAAAAATAAAATTAAAAAATGGTCAAAACCGTTTGAATGGTTAACTAGCCGGTTCAGTGGTTTGCTGACTAAAATCAACGGTTTTAGAGAAAAACAGAACCAATCGGATCCAGTTTTTTCAGTCCGACCATTTGTTCCGATCCGATTTTGAAAACCATGTTTGAAATGGTTTTATTAATCAATATATATTGGTGAAAAATATCTGTTGTAGTATCACACGAAGACTTCAACAAGAAAAATACATGTGTGGGATTCATCATTGAGATTTATAGTTGAAATGAGCATAAACATCAATTTATATTAAACAACCTAAAAAGTTTTAGGTAGAAACAGCAATGGCACCAAATACAACCTTCCACTCCTATAATTCACTAAAGATGAATGGATATGCACTAAAGGGAATGGAATGACAAAACAAGATTCATGCATCCAACCCCGTATAGTTTGGATAATGCTTAGATGATGATGAGATTAGTTGTATTAGAGTGAAAGCCTGAGATATGGCCTTGTGAGTTGCCCCTAGTCGATCGGTTGGGTTGAAAGTTGAGTCAATTTGGGCCCTGGAGCCATCTAAAAGTTCACCATTTAGGCTGCATTTGACATTCCTTATTTTAAGGATTTATCTCCTTTTTGCTGTTACAAATTCGGTATTCATAGGGGCATTTTAACTGCAAAAAGGAGATAAATCCTTAAAATAAAGAATGCCAAATGCTGCCTTAATGGTTTGTCACTTTCTCTAATGCTAAACCAAATCATAACAGATATGCTCCATATCTACTAAGATTTGATTAATAAAGCATGCATAGATAGTTAGGGTACACAAGATCCAATTAGGATCAAAATGGACTTCTCGGATCTTTGTGAGAATGTGCATTTTCTTTGCAGTGAAGAGAAGTATGCTCCCCCTGCATGGGCACCCCACAGAGAACGTTCCACATACACCCCAGAGCACATTCCAACTGTGTATTAGGAATATCTCCCCTCATGACAAATACGGGAGATGTTCCCAATGCATGGTTAGATGTGCATATGGGGCATTGTGTGAGGCGCCAATCTGAACTCCTCCCCTGCTTTCTCAATAGAGCAACTCAATGGAGTTCAGATCTCCTCCCAACAGAAAACCTTTCAACACACTCCAACATGGATCATGTTAGAACTTAGAAGAGGGTAATTTTTGTTAGGAGGAGATCCCAACTTTCAGTGGAGGGTAGAATTATGAACTTATGATCAACTTACGAATCAAGCCAACCCTTGGTCCTTAGAGAGAGGTTGCTACTTGATACTCTCTAGTATTATACTTTTTCCTTTTCCTTTAGGCTGTGTTTGGCTTGAAGGAAAACAGTAGGGAAAGGTAAGAAAACCTGTACAATCCTTGTATATATTTCTCTATTTTTCCCTTTCTGTTTCTACCTTTTCTTGCAAATCAAACACAACGTTTTTTTGAAAATTTCATATTAGAGGAAGATTAAGAGGTGGAAACAGAGCAAGGTGAATGTGAGGTCCACTGATCTTACCTTATCATACAGAGCCTGTAGTTAAGCCGGTTTGATATATATTTAGAGGGACACTGAATAACCATCTCAGCTACCAGGTCATTGACCTCAAGGATTGTCTTAACTGGTCTATTTTTCATATGACCCCTATCTAAATTAATGAAGGCCCTAGCCAAGAGCTAAAAAGATTTAAAAAAAAAAAAAAAACAGATAAAAGTCATATTACTGGGCTGATTGTTCAAACTTGTGTTCACATGAGTGAGAAGTTGAGAACTATCAAAACTAGTGTTTACAAAGCAGCATTTTTTTTCTAAAAAAAAAGTCTAGGAATTAAAAAAGCAAAAGAAATTTTATCTGTTGTTTTTTTTTTAATAATAATTTGTTAGTTTAATATAACTAAAAGTAAATTATGCTTGTAGGTTTTAGCAGCCCTTCGATGTGTTTTCATTGCCCCTCAGGCTTTGTTTTCATTTGCACTGGTGTAAATGCATAGGAGTGCAAATAGACTGGGGGACACTTGACTCCGCCCCTGATTATAAACAAACAGCATGCTGAATTGAACAACTTATTGCTTTATGTTTTAGTGGATAAAATTTTCCAAACAATTAATAAAATATTCTATGATTTAATAATATTCCCAACTTCAGCTCCAGAATTCCACAACCTCCTTCAAAACTCATTCACTTCATCATATAGACTGCAACAGAACCTCATCATAAGGCTGCAATCTTTTAGTGTATATAGGGCAAAAAAACACACATACACAATATCTTACACGCAGGGGAGGAGCCAGGGAAGCCCTGCCCCCCTATGGTCCTAAAATCTCCATTTGTAATACAGTTTATGGCCCCATTTATATTTATCACCCCCCTTTCCTATCAATTTTAAATATGGTCCCCATCATAAAAAAATTCCTAACTCCCCTGCTTACACGTGGGAGTTCGTTTCAGTGGTGACACTGGCAGACAAAAGCTTTACCTATTTATCTCATAGCCTTCACTGTGACAAGTCTAGCCCGAGATGAACTGATACACTAAACATGTGGCTAATCTGAAGGATTCCCTATGAGATAAAACCTTGTACATGATCAGTAAGCTATATATTGTATCTAGCAGTTTCTGGGTCTTTCTTCTCTTGTTTGCTTCTAAGAAGTCTCTGGACATTTTTTTTTTCTAGTTAATGAAGATTCTGGAACTTTGGATGTAATAATACATGATGCCTTGGGTGTGGATTTGGTTTTTATATCCAAGACAACATGGAGTATGAACATATGTTGTTGTCGAAGAATAAATTATTGTTTTATCTGCACTTATCCATTGTTTAATATAATTTCTTTAATCTCCATTCCCCAATTAAC